ATTTGCTTCACTGGTGAACAAGATTCATGATGTAATCCCCCAAGTTTAAGGGTTAAATTTGAATAAAGAGAAATGCAAGGACCAAACATGTTAATTTATGATACATGAATGAGTAAATCGCTTTAGATTATGGGTTAAATTAGAAATTAAAGGTGTGAAAATATGTGAAACTTTTAGGTCATTTTTTAAAATAGTCTTTAAGAAAAAAAAGGTGATATTTCAATATATATACTGTAAAAATGGTTCAAGTATAGCTGATATGAGATTCTAACAAAGAGGATTTACGTTCAAAGCCAGAACTGCGGAAATGGGATGGCAACGTTTTCATGTGGAAGTTAAGGGCCGAGATTAAGGAGCGACATGATCAAGAAAGCATGACATTTGGATTTCGGTATTTTGGCAAACACAAAGTGACGATAGAGAACCAAATAATCAAAGACAAGCAAGAACACACAAAAGGAAGCAAAATTCATCTAATTTATTGTAACTGACTTCCTTTTTGGTGTCATATACTGTTTAAGAGTGTTTAGTATAAAATTGGTATAAACTTTGTAGTTAATAAAGTGAAGTATAGGTATAAATTGGAATTTTCATGGTTAGCGTATGTTCAGTAATCTAAAATTCTGAAATTCTGAAATAATTAATTAAGCGCCAAAGGCTGTTATCGATTACCAAAAAGAACGATTTCTAATTTCGAATATATTTTATGGATAAAACCCACAGTTTACAATTCCGATTTATTATACAGTTTGTTGTTATATGACATGTGTTAATGTCTCGTTCATGCATGGATGATATTTAAACATGACGCACATGTTTTACATGTATAGTTAGAATTTACAGTTACAATAATAAAATATTACATTTTCTTTGATAAATATGTTTACGATATTTGAAAGGTATATTTAGAATGCTAACATTAAATGTCGTAAGCGCTACACTAATGTTTTTGTGTATATACATTGAAAAGATCCAGCAAACTATATGAAGGCAAAGATAATGTGTGATAGAGTAAGAGGTCGTTTACCTAATGCTTACCCACGAAGTGCTTACTAGTAAGAATCAATACTTTAACTTAATTTACTACATAAAGTTTTAGTCTATTAAAACAACATTGTATGCAACAATTTATTTAGTAAGCACTTACCGGGGTAAGAGTCGTTGCTTTCACTGTGCAGCTAAATCTGCTTCTATATCCTCCTCTTATCTTAGGGGGTAATCAAGCCAGACATAAACCACCACCCTTTCGCATCCAATTGAGCCGATTGATCGAATGGCCTCATTGCTCTCACTCGGTAAGTCTCTCGGTCATTATCATCGTTACTACCGGGTAAGATCTTCAGTCTTTGTCATGTTCATCCTATAATATGAAAATGACCTGATAAACATTTACCAAGTAAGCGTTTAGTAAACGAGCCTTATGGCTATTAGAGAGTTAAGATGATTGTATGTCACGTTTAAGTAGTCTTTAACAATATACGATGGAGATATAATTACTGTACCGTTTTAAGTTTAGAACTCCTTAAATGGTTGTTGGATATACAGTTTCGTAGCGAGTAATCATGTATTTATTAAAACGTAAGTATTAGATGATTATAATCAGGTATTTTTGTGATTATGTGGTTTTAATCTTTAATTAATCAAGGGTAATCAACATCATCATTAGAATTTTCAAGTTGATGAAAACTTAAATTTCAAATGAAAATAAAGAATTAATGGAGTTGACTTTTCAAGAATATAATTAGCATTCATGATTTTTTTTTATTAATATAAAAAACTACCAATCATTAAATATAGTGTAACTCTAATTCATTTGAATATCTGACAAAATGAATGAGCCAAACAGGTTGAATAACATGTCAAAATGGTTTATATCGACCCGTCTTTATATTTGACTTCGTAAACAGTTAAAAATTTAATTTGAGGAAGATTACAGATATAGTGATCAGATAATGTACGACGTTGCAAACAGTCGAGTATATTATATTATTATGAATAACTTTTAAACCGTTCAACCCGTTTCATTCCTACCTATTTTTAAATTTCACGCATTTGGCCTCAGTTCAATAGAACAAAACGCATACCAGTCTACTTTTACATAAATTGGTGGAAACTGTTCCCTCTACCAAATGGTAATAATGTCACAAATCTTTAAATAGCACTGAATAGATAGGTTGCATAGAGGAGGCTGATTGAAGATACGAAGATTGAATAATTCGCTAAAAAGATAAATGATAAACTCGTGTAGGTTTAATGACATGCATGTAGATGTAGAAAACATAAACGCCATCATGACATAATTGGTTTTCAATAAGATGTGAATATAACTGTAACAGAGATTTAATATTCAATTTTGTTCAAACACCTGATCTTTCTTTATTTGTTAGGGTTTTATTTCATTTAACAAATGTTTACTTCTATTTTCATGTACGTTTTCTTTGGTTTAGTGGGTTGTTGCTCATCGCAGTTAGGGGTGCTCATGGGTCGAGTTTACTGGGTCGAAGACATTTGAACAGCCCAACCCAGTGCTTGCGTTTTGAAAAATCTTAACCCAACCAAACCCATCCCAGACAAAAGTGCAACCAACCAAACTCAAACCGTACGGGTTGGTCGGGCTGATACTTTAGTACATTAAAAATTCTTCTAACCTTAAATATGTTATTTCTCTACTCATAGTTTATTTTTCATCATAAACCATTTGATACAACTTATTCATATTTCTTACGTATATCACACTCAGTTATTTTTCTCAATTTACATATATAATTTCACAGTTACTGAACATATATACAAATAAGTTACATAAAGATGTCAATAGATTGAAAATATGTGTATATGAATTGCATACGTGATAGAGTAATTTCTAATGTATACATTAATAGAAAATTCAACAATCATATTAAATTCAATAAATAAAATGATATCAAATTCATCAGGTTGGGTTAGGTTCAAATAGTAGTAACCTAATATCAACTCATTACATACGTTTTGAAAATTTTACAACTCAATTACACATTGGTTTGCTTCGGGTTGAGTTATTTCGCGTTGGGTTGGGTTGATCGAGTTTTTTAACACCCCTACTTGCAGCGGGCTCCCTTTTCTGTTACAAATTATGTTGATTTTTTTCTTTAAAAAAAGTATCAAATAAATACACAATCAACAACATTAATGGGGTGTTTGGGATTGCTTATTTGAAACAACTTACGCTTTTCTACAAAAACACTTATCAACTTATTATAATTCAAAAGAATTTAACTTTTTCAAAAACTTCTTATTATCGGTTTGGCACTAGTACACGTTGTTTATCTAAACACTCAAAAGTGTTTATTACCGGTGTCACACCGAAATAAGTCAATAAGTTGTTTTTATAAGCAATTTCAAACACTCATCTTTTTTCTTAATTTATAGTTTATTTTAAGCAACAGAAAATTAATAATTTTAATCATTTTTAATAAATAACCGTTTTTTTAAACAATATTTTGTAACCACTCGATTTAATAGAAAATTATAGAATCTTGATGGATAAAAAAACATCTTATTATAATAATAAAATAACCAACAAAATCTCCAAGTTAATCTCATTTAATTATTATATAATATTAAATGAAAACCAATCAATATCTCCAACAAATCAATAATAATTGCGACATTAGAATAAAACCACGCCAAATCCTTTTCTTCATTTTAAGTACTTTTACTTTATAAATATTAATTCTTTATTTTTGGATTTTATATATCATAAAAATATAAAACAAGAAAAAAAAATTAGTAACCGTCGCTAAAAAAATTGTACAATAATACATCAATGATTTATGAATTGAATTTGCGTAAAAACAGTTTGAATAAATTTTGATTTCAAGTGGATTATTAATAAACATAGACATTTTTTTAAGACTCCAGATATTTCATCTGAGTCTTTAATGGTAATTTTACTAAATAAAACAAATGTCTATTTATCTTTTTCAAAAAATAATCAAAACTGGAAATGTATTCGATAAAATGGTTTAGTCAAGCTTTATTTACTCATGAAATTAAATTAACTAAACTAAATGATTGTTTTTGAATTAACTAAACTATCTGGCCATTCATATGATTTGGGTAAAATAACAAAAGATGTGGTAAATGAATGAAAATGTTCATTATTTAACTGAGATTTTTAACAGTATTAAGTTCAAGGGACCAGTTTCAAAGCGAAATATAAACCACAATCATCATAATTGTACTTAATGAAGTTTAGGAACATTATTTGTAGTTGAATGTATACTAGATGGACCAAAATTGTAGTTTACTCTTAGGGGGGTTTAACAACGCTTTATCTAGTAAGTATTTACCAAGTCACATTGGCTTATCAGGTGAATATGACAAAGATCAATAATTTCACATTCTAAGAGTAAGTTGATGACCGAGAGTCTTACCCGGTAACTAAGAATGACAACTCTTACCATACATAGTTGGCACTTATCGGGTAATTTGTTACATACAATGTCATTTTGATGGACTAAAATTTTACCAGATAGTAAGTGATAGTGTCGAATTTTACCAGTAAATACTTACTGAGTAAGAGATCGTTTACCAAACGATTACTCGGGTAAGTGCTTACCAAACCACAAAAACTTATCAGATAAATATGACAAAAACCAAAAATCTTGTCTGATAAGAGCAACAGCAAGGACCGAAAGTCTTACCTGATGAGTAAAGATGACGATTTTTACATGATCAACGATTATCGGATAAATTGTTGAATACGATACCGTTTGGTAAAGATGGCCTAAAAGTTTGATAAGGAGACGCTTATTTTAATTCAGAAAAATGGATTGGAGATTCAAAGGGCAGATTAAGAATAATAATTAAATAATAAACAAATAAAGAAGGGCCCCACACAAATAGCTGTCAAATACCCGACATTTATTCATGAAATATAGATGTTTCCGAACTTATAAGCACTCTCCATCTCATCACAATCGTATTCATCGAACTCCGATCTCATTTTCCGATTTCCGATGGATCCATGTCCATTTGTTCGTCTAATCATCGAGTCATTATCACTCAAACTCCCACTCGCCACCAAACCCGCCTCCTCCTCCTCCGGCATCCACTCCTCCGCCACTCCCTGCTTCTGCAAACTCCGAATCAAAAACTTCCCGCCGCAAACCGCCATCATCCCACTCTCCTCCGCCACCCATTCCGATCCCCACCCACCGGATTCCACCACCTCCGCCATCAATTTCCACCTCGACCCACCAGCCCTCCGCCGTCTCCAAGGCAAACCGATGCTCTTAACCGTCTCCGTCTACACCGGCGGGATGGGTCGCAGTTGCGGGTTTAACTGCGGAAAGGTGTTAGGTCGGGTCGCGGTGGTTATCAACATTGATGGGTCGGTTACTAAGCCCATTGTGTTTCAGAACGGTTGGATGAAGCTCGGAAATGAAGCCGATAAACCGGCGGCGAGTTTGCATTTGAAGGTCCGAACCGAACCGGATCCACGGTTTTTGTTTCAGTTCGGTGGTGAACCGGAATGTAGTCCCGTTGTCTTTCAAATTCAGGGGAATATCCGGCAGCCGGTTTTTAGTTGCAAGTTTAGCGCCGACCGAAACTCAAGATCGCGGTTAGTAGACTCCTCCATGATTAATTTAGTCGTCTCTTAGCTGTACCGGTTCATTTGAACCGGTGGTCCACATATTTTCCAACTAATTTCCAAATTCCTATAGAAAATAGTCAAAAGCTTTTTATATCAATTGTTAAACATATTTAATATTAATTTCGAAAAATAAATATTATTTTTTGTTTTTACAAACATTATATATTTCAAATAACTATATTGTTAAATTTAGTTCAATGTCTAAACATATTTTTTTACAACGTAATCTTGTATTTTGTTAAAAGAAAGTAACCGTCAAACATATTAAAAATTATATCTTAAGTGGCCAGAATGATTAATAGACTCTCATGATATAGTGCAAAATGAAATATAATTATTTGACAATTGTGTATAATGAAATTAAGGTTCTTAATGGTTAAGAGAGATCCATGATACAAAATTATTCGGAGGGTTTTAGAACCATTAAGAGACATGTTTTTTTTGTCAAACATGATTCACTTCTTAACGGTTCAGATGTTACCTCTTAAGAGAATCTCTAATAGCTAATTTATTTTATCAATTTTATTATTTATTAAAATATTTAATAAAATATTATTTCTGTTTATTCAACATTTATTTTTAATATTAAATAAAATAATTTTTTTTATTTTAGTATAGATGTCAGGGGTGTTTGGAATTGCTTTTTGAAACAACTTATACTTTTCTACAAAGTATTTATCAACTTATTATAAGTTAGAATGATTTAATTTATTCAAAAACTCTTTATTACTGGTTTGACACTGGTATAAGTTTTTTATCCAAACACTCAAAAGTACTTATTATCGGTGTCACATCAAAATAAGTCAATAAGTTATTTTTATAAATAATCTCAAACATTCCTTTAAAGTAAAAATATTGTTAAATCTTCGGAATCTTTATTTTAACCTAAATGATGAAGATGCTTTTTAAAAAACTTTAAGTTATAAGATTGGGTTTATTTTAATTAAAATATATTTAGAGTACATAATTGGGATAATTATAATGCAAAAGAGAGATTCTCCCTTGAATTTAGGTATAATTGAATCACTTAATAATTGCTTGTCTCACATTGCTTTCCCTTTAAGATAAGAGAGTTTTTTCAATCTCTATGCATCTTCTATTCGGTTAAGTTAAAGAAAATATATGAAGCAGGAGATTTTACTGTAGGACTTCTTTAACAGATGATGGCAAAAAAGGAATAAACCAATAAAATCAATGTTAATGTATTGTTTTAATTGATGTTTTTTTTTCCATATATACATACACACACACACATATGCATAATCATATAAAGGAGAATGATCGTGTGAGAAAGGATAAAAAATAATCTGAACCCTTGATCACCTTTAATCTCAAACCCACTTATGAATCGTGGTCATCAAAACCCAACTCATCATTTACAAACTCAATGCTTTGTATAAACTTACGGAACAATTTTCATGTGTTGTGTTACATATGAAACAACATGTATTGTGTTGTGTTGTTCATATGTAAAACGTGGAACGTTTACTGTATAAATAATATAATATTACACGCGTTGTCTTATTGCATAAAAACGGGTTTATAGCTTTATATGAATATTATTGGATTTATAAAATAATGAGACTACATATACTTATTTATTTGTATAAGACTTAATCATTTGAGAACTTCAAAAATTGTTAGATATGTGAGAACTTCTACCTTAAGGTTTTGTTCACATGATTTTTATGTCTAAATATAGTATTTTAATGTATTGATTAATATATTGTTTCATATGTATTCGATTTACAATGTGAAATTTTTTTATGTGTATTTTTTGTTTCACAAACATATAAAAAATGTTCACATTATAAACCGAATACATGTCAAATATATATATATATATATATATATATATATATATATATATTTGTTGATGTTGGCTAATAAAAGATACCCCAACTGTCAAAGACAAGCACCAGCATGATTATTTTCCATGTGCTCTGGATTTTGGTGTCAGTTCAATGCTCTTTGGTTTATTAACTTAACTACCATCTCTTAACTATTCTTGTTTGACTTTTTTGCATTCCGTCCTTTGACTTTGACTAGTCTTATTATTAATCATTCAAATTAATGTCACAATGATTTGTTTTTTTTTTTTTTTTATGTAATTTCCACTTCATCTCCATGTAGGAAGTAATAGTTTGTGTAAATAATCCTGATGTCTTTCTTCTTCGTTTGATTTTCAGTTCTCTTCCATCAGATTTTACCATGAACAATATAAACAGAGGGTGGATGACAACGTTTTCCGGTGGAAAAGAAAAAACTGGGAGGGAGCGAAAAGGGTGGATGATCGTGGTCCATGATCTCTCTGGATCATCCATTGCGGCCGCTTCCATGATCACACCGTTTGTCCCTTCTCAAGGCTCAGACCGTGTTTCGCGGTCAAACCCAGGGGCCTGGCTTATCCTTCGACCCCATGGTGCTTCAATTAGTAATTGGAAGCCGTGGGGGCGACTTGAAGCTTGGCGTGAAAGGGGACCCGTTGACGGGTTAGGTTATAAATTTGAACTTGTTACCAACTCTGGTATGACAAGTGGGATTCCCATTTCCGAAGGCACTATGAATATTAAAAAAGGCGGCAAATTTTGTATCGACGAGACTTTAAAAGATTCGAGAGCAAGTCCGTTGTCGAACATCAAAGGGTTTGTAATGAGTTCGAGCGTTGAAGGCGAAGGGAAAACGAGTAAGCCAATGGTGCAAGTGGGTGTGCAACACGTGACGTGTATGGCTGATGCTGCTCTTTTTGTTGCGCTTTCGGCCGCAATCGATCTCAGTATGGATGCTTGCAAGCTCTTTTCTCGTAAGCTGAGGAAAGAGTTCCTGCAAGACGAACAAGATTTTATGTCGTAAAAATTTAAACTTTTCTTCTGATTTTGAAACGAAAAATTCTTTCTTTTTTCACCTAAAAATTTAATCTTATGCAATGATAACCAATCAAGTCAGTGAATCGAATTTGGATTGAGCATGCCAATTCTTTATCTCATGCTTTAAAAAAAATTACGAACGGTTTGAATTCTTTCTTTAATTTAAATTCAATTTGGATCGGGATGATGATTGTGACGTTAAGATTTGAGGATAATATTGTATAGACAAAGGATTTGTTTATTTTTCTTTTAGAAAATTATGTACATTTCGTGATCTGTTATTGAACAAATGTCTTATTGGATTAAGTTCTTTCTTGCAATGTTCGTTTTTCAGAACAGTGAATTGGGATTTATGTCGAGTTCGAATAGGGTCATAAAGTTGATTATGGAGTAAACCCATATTAGCCATTTGAGCGTATTCGATTTTTTCATATTATTCAAACCGATCTCAAAATCTAAAACCAAATAAGATAACGTAAACGTTAAGTTAAGTTAAAAAAGGCCATTCATTTACATACGTTTAGGAACATAGGTCAAATACAAAAAAATTTATCTTCACGAATTTATTGAAACCATATTTGCATCACAAGTCTATTAAGAACTACAAAAAAAGGAAAACCTAAACATCAGTGCTATTCGCTCGGTCCCTCCATTGACAAGCATATTCGACCATTGACCATTCATAGACACAACAAGAACATCAAGTTGTTCGGATGCCAACGAGCGAATGGCCACTTTGGCCCAAACGTCCATCTGTGTCGGCCGTATTTCCACGTCCTACATCCAGGAGGCGACCACTTTTCGATAGGGCGGTGATGATGGTGGGTTACAACTATACATCGTCAAAAGTGTATGTGGGAGGGGCGTACTTTTTATGGGACGGACAATGATTAGAAAAAAAGCTATTCCATCTAACCGAGGGTCGTTACTTTGTAATAATGGTGTATCCCTTCAGTGTTGCTTTATGATCATTTCCAGAAATTTTTTTGTTGAAATATTTAGATTTGAAAAGAAAACAATTAAGCTAAAAAGGTCTATTTACGTGTCAAAAGATGGACAAACGGTGAAAAGACAAAAATACCATTTTTTTAACGCATGAAATATGATTTATACACATGATATATTAATACTACTGATATAACTAGAAGTAGGGGTGCTCACGGCCCGGGTTGATCGGTTTGGAGTCGTTTTAACAACCCAACCCAATGTTGGCGGTTTGAAAATTTTCAACCCAACCCAACCCAAACAAAAGATCAACCCAACCCAACCCAACCCGTTCGGGTTGATCGGGTTCATCGGGTTTTTGATCACTCCTAAAGGAATATTGTCGCAGACAGTTCTTGCAATTGGAGTTAGGAACAAAAAAGTGCAATTAGCCAGACATTCAGTTACCTGTATTTTTGCAATCGTCTTTGCATCCAGAAATTTTTGAGCAGCAGGCCATAAACATTTCTTGAAGGTAGGGCCGGCATTGACGATGAACATGCGATGTAGTGTCTGTCAGTAAACATGGAAGTCCATTATAAACAAGAACAACCGGTAATTTGGAAAATAAAGGCTATAGGAGATTAGGAGTTATTTACCTCTGGGTAGTAATTACTGTCAACCTTTGCCATGGCCCCAAGAAGACTTGCCGCAGTTGGATTATATATTAATAGTTCTCAGCAAACCTCCCCTCCCCATCCAACTTGCTCATAAGTATACTCTCATATATACTTGCCACAGCTAGTATGGTTACCGAGGGAAACAATTGTGGTCACATATCATATTATCAAATCAAGTGGTTCACATACCAAGCCTTGTGCATCCAAAATTGTGGTTCACATACCAAGCCTTAGCTTCAACAGAACTTTAAAAAACTTTAAGATGTACAGATATGTTAGTCTATGAATACACATAGTAGAACTCACATTGAGAATATCACTTCCTGCCAGGCAAGTAGACATTACACATAGTAGAACTGACATCTGAGTGTCAATATGTGCACTGATTACTGATGATGGATAATTACAAAGGTCAATTGTTTATTACTTACTTTTTCAACAGAACAAGATTTGTAACATATACATTTGTTCCAATAATTGTGCTAGAATAGAACACTCCTAATATCCCTTTAAACAGTTCATTTCAGACACATAATGTTGATAATTAAGGAATGACGAGCCTAGTGCTTGCAGTAAATCGAAGGTGTTGTGTTACCTTATCTGTGTAAATCGAAGGCTGTGTCCATGTATAGCAAGGCTATCTCGAACTCTCGATGTTGCTGTCCGAACCGAAGGCTGTGTCGATCCTATCGAAGGCTGTGTCGATGTTGCTGTCCGAACCGAAGGCAGTCTCGAACTCTCGAACTCGAAGCCTCTGCTCTCGGCCGAACACGAAGCCTCTGCTCTCGGCCGAACTCGAAGCCTCTGCTCTCGAAGGCTGTGTGTGTCGAATCGAAGGTTGTGTGTGTGTCGAACTCGAAGCCTCTGCTCTCGACCGCTGCTAGCCTGCTACTCGAACTCGACTGTATTAGGATTTAGGGTTAGGGAGTTTTGTTTAGGAAGGAGGCAAGGAGGAGGAGGAGCACTGGGTCTGGACTCTGGAAGTGGAAAATGATGGACGCAGTCACGCAAGTCACCCAATGGCATTGGGCCAATGCTATCCAGTATCCCGTGTATTTTACTTTTGGGCTTCCAATCGGGTCATCGGGTTGGGTCGGTTTTCATTGGGCCTAAACCGATTTCAACCCAATAGAGTCGGGTTACTTAATTTTTTAATCAATCAACCTTCGGGTTACCTCGGGTTCGTTTTTTTTTATAAAAATCGGGTTGGGTTGATCGGGTTCATCGGGTTTTTGAGCACCCCTAACTAGAAGTGTATCAAATAATGATAATCCAACCCCGAATCAATATAAATAAATAAGAATTAGAACATATTGAAGAAATTAAAGCCTTGAAGCATTCTATAGATTGAAGAGTTTAGGCTATGTTGGTCCAGATAAACATGACAACCTTTTCAAGTAGAGAAAATTGTATGAAAAAATAACGTACTTCAACCTTATTCCTATTTTGGGTAATGTACAACTTCCATTTTGATACATAAGATATAAAACTTTAAACATTTAAGTACCCTGGTAACCAGTTTGATGTGCTATCCAACTTAGTATTATTTGCTGACATGGATATCTTAATATAATCGGTTAATGCTCCAACCAGTTATCCGTGTACTTAAATGTTTAAAGCTTTACATCTTAGATGTCAAAATGAAAGTTTTAAAAGTACATTACCCAAAATAGAAATTAAGTTAAAAATACGTTACTTTTCATGCAATTTACCCTTTCAAGTATTATTTTTGTTTGAAATCAATTATTTTTAATGTTTTAGTTTTTAAGATAAGAAATGAAAATTTTGGATTCACATATTTTTTCTTGATAATTTTTTAGAAAACATGTTCGATTAAAATGTAGTTTACAAGATGACTTCGATTTATCATCCTGATAAAAAGTCGAAATATTTATCGATGGTTGTCTTTTAGCCGAACTCGCTTGTATGCATCTAATATTTTCTTGATCCTCTTTAACGTCACATTTTCCATCTCGATTTTGGTTTGTTTACCAACTTTTTACTACCATTTACCTGAATAAGAGGTCGACGTTTACAATATTCCAGACATCACTTAATATGAAGGGGGTATAATAGTCTTTTTCACTCAGTCAAATCTTAATACAAAGCATTGGATAAACAACTAGAGGTGTGTAGAAAATAATTCGATCCAATTAGAACCGACCAGTAATAATCGGATATCCAAAATTCAACATTCGAATTAGATCGATTAGTTCTTTGATGGCAGATCGTCATCTAATAAATTTGGTAATAGTTCTTGATAATTTATGGGTTCAAAATTGTTGATGAAAACAAGGGCCCAAGTCCAAGGCCCATTATTGGGCCCAAATATTGATAAAACAAATGCGATCGAATAGGCCCAAATGATGTGCCACCCCCCGATTTATATTGTTTGCTCCCAACCCTAACCCTAAAAAGCCGTCTGCATCTCTCGCACTAGATCCGGCCGAAAAGAAGACCATCGACGGCTAAAGAATCCCAAATTCAACATGGGTAAGCTTAACGAGTTACAATTTCTTCTATTAGATTACGGATTTCCTGTAGTTTTGATGCTTAATTGTTTAATCGATCGATTAATTTTGCTATTGACTGGAATCTGTTCGCAGGTAAGGTTCACGGATCGTTGGCTCGTGCCGGTAAAGTGAGAGGCCAAACCCCTAAGGTTGCGAAGCAAGACAAGAAGAAGCAGCCCCGCGGACGTGCTCACAAGCGCATACAATACAACCGCCGCTTCGTCACCGCCGGTAAGTTGCCGCCACTTATTTTCAGTTCATATTTGTCGATAAGTTACCGACTAACAGAATCGCTGAAAAGATACTTGAAATATATTTCGAATGTATACTCTTTGCTGTGGTTTATTTTATGTGTTTGTGGAATTTTATTAGGAATTGAACTTCAAAGTTTCATATATACAGCACCATTTATAGCGTATGATGTAGACATATAGTTACCAAAATTTTAGAATGATATGCAGTGCGGCATGTGCTTTTGTTGATATCTTACAAATGTCTGAACCGATTGGCTGAAATTTTATGAATGTGGTGACTTGATAATCCTTCAAGATTGATAACTAAACTACTGCCGAATTAAAACCCTAAAACCTATCTTCAGTGAGTATCGAAATTCCATCGTCTCTGCGATTAGTATCTTCTCTATAAACGAAAGGGGTAGTCAAATCCGATCAATTTCTGGGATTCCTTCACTCTCCTATCATGACAGTCTGATATGGTGAGCTTAATCGGATCAAGAATTCTTGAACTGCTTTTGCCCAGGCAATAAGAATCAAGTATTGTTACCAAGTTTATGACACTGACTACTAGTAGTAGGTATTTGATGAGAAGTTGTGATGATTTTTATCAATGTTGGTTTCCTTCACACGATTAACACGATCTAAATCCAAAATACTCTTAAAGGCAGTGGATTACACTGCGAGAATCAGGATGACACGATATGCTGCATGTTGAAGTGTGTTACCATATGAACCTCCATTTTTGTTGATTCATGGTCAAATCATGAATTGAAAATTTAAAAGAAGTGTGGATGCTGATGTGTCTCGAGGGTGAAAATGGTTTTATTGAGGAGTTTATTTGGCAATATAAGAGTTCCATTTAGGATAACCCCATGTTAAAAGATGGATTTTTTTTGTATTGGAGTATTCAATTACTACCTTTTCTATGCATGCTTTAGTTTCTATGACTTATTTTGCTAGATTGAGTCATTAGGTCATAATGGTATCCATTTTTATGTGTTACATACCTAGTTTTTGTGTACTTATTTTAGCTAGTTTGAGCTAATCTATTTGTTACTTGCTTTTGTATTTGTTTTTGATTATTTGGCTAATTTGAGCTATTTTTGTGAAAGAATGTGGCAAATTTTTTCTTAATATCTTGATTCTTGATTCTGCAGTTGTTGGGTTTGGAAAGAAGAGGGGGCCAAACTCATCAGAGAAGTAAGGTGCCCAGTTGTTTGGAGGATGTTATTATGTTTGTTTACAAGTCTTGTTTAGGTTTTTGGTTTTTGCAATTTATATGTTCATGAAACCCTATCAAGTATCATCCATAAATTGATGTTGTGGTGATTGTGATATTGAAACTTATGATTATGAATCCATTTTTGTAAGGGAAATTTGAGTGTTTGTTTGGTTTGTGAATTCGAAGGAATTTGATGGGAGTTGGAATGACCAAATTCTTTGATTATTATTGGTTTTTGATTGAATTTATTGGATTCTGTCTGAATTAATGGTTGAAGGATTTGATCATTCGTTGGCATAAGTCAAGGATTTTAATTCCATTTCATGGTAAATTTTTGAGTAAATTACGTTTTTCATTTCTACGGTTTGTAAAAGAATTGTGAATTTTGTTTCTTTGGTTTTGAAATTTTGATTTTCGTCCTTAGTTTGCAATATATTATATTTATATTTGAAACACTAATTAAAATATAAATAAATTTTAAACCATAGAAATTAAAAAAAAACAATAAATTTCAATTCATAGAAATAATAAAAACAATAAATTTTGAATTACAAGGACAAGAAAGGCAACAAAAGTATAAATGGATGAAAATTGTAATTTTAAAATTATAAACACGGAAAATATAACTTTTAACAAACTATAGGGACTAAAAAGGTAATTAATATATCATTCCACGGTCCATATTCCAAATGTTTTGCAACCTTCCGAGTTCCGATTCTCATGGATCAAACACGTTTGTCAAATTCCTGTTTCAGGGTGCGTAAATTGTGGTGTGTTTAGTTTGTAAGATTTGAAATGTAACTGAAATTTATCGTTTTAAGATAATTTATAAAAAAGTTATAAAAATAATTAAATTATCTTTTTATTAATTGATATTTTTTTTAATTAATCTGGATATTTAATCTGCTATGCGAGGTGACTAATCGTAGGACGACCACCCGTTTCACGGATATCCCAGAGTGACCGCATTTGAACTTTCGTGGTCACAAGAAGAATTTTATTCTTTCTTGAATTCGAACCTGGGACCTCCAAACGTTTTTGATCTTTAGAGCTCAAGCTCAAATTTCGGTCACGACCCTTGTGGTTTGAGCATTGCAAAACATATTAAAACAATTTTTTTTATTAACCTGGATATCCAACCCGATATGTGAGCCGACTAAACCCAGGACGACCACATGTTTTGCAGATAGCACGAAGTCACCGCATTTGAACCTCCGTGGCCATAAAAAGATTTTTTATTTCTTCTTGGATTTGAACTTGAGACTTCCTAGTACTTTTGACCTTTGGAGTCAAGCTAAAACCAATCAGGCATCACCGTTGTGGTTCATATTAAAACATTTTTACCTTCAAATCATATCAAATTCTATGAAATACTAACCATCCTTATAGGATTTAAAAATCCTATATTTGTGACCTTTTCATGAAATCCCGAGATTTTAAATCCAAGAAATACTTCAAACTAAACATGAGATTGAAATATAATTCAATTTCAAATCCAATCCAATCCTGTAAACCAAACAAGACCTCAAAGTCAAAAAATTTTTTTGATGGATTCCAATTCCAACAAACTCCACTATGTGATTCCGAGATTAAATTTAAATCTCAACTTATTCAACCATTTAATCCAATTACCAAACATTAGTTGCCCGTGTTTGATGGGTTCAATTTAAATTTAAGAAGTATATGTTGTCTTCGTGTTCTTTAGTTGTTCCATTAACTCTGAATCTCGTTGATAATGGTATGAAGATTCTTTTGTATCTATCTCGACTCGAGGTGTAAATGAGCCGAGTCGAGTAGCAGGTCATTCGAGCTCGGCTCCAAAAGTTAATATCAGGCTCCAAATCGATTAACTTTTACAAAATCCGGCTCGAGCTTGAATACTTTTTAATGTATGAGCTCGAGTTCGATGCTTTTTTATGAGCCTGAACTTGAAATCGATTAACTCGTTTATTTGCTCAAGATCTTTGATTTTTATCTTTTGATTATATAATTTAAAAACGTATAAATATGTTTGGCTCGAAAAATGTATGCACGAATGGCTCGAGTCGACTCGTAAAGCTTAGTCGAGCTTTTGAACCAAGTCGAGTCGAACACTGATGTTATAGAACTCGATTTGTTAAGTTAAACGAGCTTTATTTTGTGTTTCAGATTGACTCAAGCTCGAGAATTATTAATCTCGTGTATCCATGGGTCCACCTGTGTTTTTTTTTCCTCCTTTGAGATCATATGGATGCATTTGTACAAGCTCGATAAGGTCGATAACAATTCATGATGTACACTAAAAATTCAATAACTCACCATGCTCGATAACAACTCGATACTATATTATTGATGAGCTCAAAATTCAATATCTACTGATGAGTTCGATAGCTACTCGATGAACACATGTTTAATTATTGAACGTTTTAAAATACACGTGAAAAATTTCCCATCTTCTGAATCTATAAATACATTAATCGAGAATTGACCGTCTGAACATAAGAACCATCGCAAGTGGCAGTGCCGTTCGGGGGCGCAACCCGACCCTCGGTTTACAGTTATATAAGGTATAAGTATGCTTATAAGAGTGTGCACTCTGTAACCCGAACCCATATTATAGCTGAACTAAAAATCCCATCGATCTCATGTAAATCATAGCTACACTAAAATGACTGCTGACGCTAAAATCAACAACAAAAACCAGCGAAATCTCGGGTTTTTGAAATGAAGATTGTCAAATAATTTACTTGTATTACCATCAAAATTCATCATGGAAACTTGTATCAGTTTCAATTTGATGTTCAAGAAGATACCTGGTAACCAACGCGGCACCATACGGCAAAACCTCTTCATTCACCGTAAAGTAAGGAGAATGGCCCGACACAAGTTTTTCCTGATTCTCGTTCTGCATCCAAACGGAGAAAAAATAGCCAGGAATCGCTTCTGCAAAGAACGAGAAATCTTCCGCACCCATTAATGGTCGAGCCTCAACGATGTTAGTAGCACCCAACATGTCACTAGCAACTCGTTGGAAGTGTTCATGTAGATGCTCATGATTCACCATGGGAGGATACGAAGGTTTTTCACTTTCATTGAAATCGACACTTGCATTGCATCTATGAACGCCCGCCTGTGTCGTGATAACCTGAAAATATTGTCAGAATCAGAAAGCAGGAAGAAGACGCGCAATAAAGTTCGGTTATATTTAGCAAACTAGCTGATACACTAGCTGTTAACTGATAAACTAATCATGTCCGGTAAAAACTCGTTGATAAGCCAGATGACAATTAACATAATTAGGAAAAAAAAAGGGAAAATCTCAAAATTTAAAACGTCACTTGAAGTAGGCTTTCAAAAAGCTAGTTTATGGCTAATCAAAAGGGGATTTTAGCAGCTTAATGAGCTTAACGGGACTTACAAATTATTCGGTGAGCTATACACGACTGTTTGATAGTGGCTTAATGATATAGAAAGTGGCTTATTCAACTTTTAGAGAGAGTTTTATGCAGAAAGTCAATTTTTTTCCCAATCTGTTTGTTACAATAAAAAAACATGCTCCTTCTATCTATGAAAAAACCCTCCCAAACAAAAACCTTTCACAATCTCTACAGACTAATTAATCCACATAAACAACTTTATCCATACAGGACTTGATGGAAAACCAACCAAACAACCCCATTCTTAGCTAAAAAACTAGTCATGTTTGGTAACAAGTTGGCTGATAAGCTAGATGACAATATAATATAACATAAAGCGACACGTTGAAAAACTAATTGGAAAAATAGAAGGGGAATAATTAGAAAAAGTGGGAAAAGACACAAAATTTGAAACGATACTTGAAATAGGTTTTCGAAAAGCTAGTTTATGGCCAACTAAACAGGGCTTTTCTAATAAGCACAAAAAGAAAGCTTGCTTATATGGTTGCCAAACATGGACGTACTGAAATAAAACCATGAATAATGAGAAGTACCTCTCTGATTCGATGTTTAAGTTGGGCAAAACCTTCTTTCGAGAAAGCCCTGAATGTTCCACCAATTGTAACCGAAATGGGGATTATATTGGAGGCGCCACCACCTTCAAATCCCGCAACCGTAACAACCTGTAAACATAACTCTTCCATCAATCTATAAACATAACCAAGGGCAATTCAGTAATATCAAATTTGGTAAGAATACTAAGGTCATGTTTGGCAACCATAAGCCAACTTATTTTTTGAGTTTATTGAAAAAGCTCTGTTTTGTCAAATAGCATTTCAATGAACTCTAGGTTTTTTTTTCTTCCACTTCTTTTCCTTCCAATTATGGCTCTTATTTTGTTCCAGTTAATATTTCAACATGTTGTTTTGGGTGAATTTGTTACACTAGACAAGACAGGACAGAACAGAACAAAATATGGATCGCTATTCCATGTTTGGCATGACTTCTATGTGGAAAAGACATGAACGGAGTAGAATAAAGTGGAACAAACGTGTGCCACCCCACCTTTACCCCATGAAACAAGGTGGAACATACTTATATTTTACCAATATAACCTCAAAATAAAATCTAATTATCTTTTAAAACATCAAATAAGCCTCCCTCTTTACTTTTATTCACTCTTTAAATATTTATTGTAATTTATGCTCTTTTAAACTTCCATTTTAAAGTCCTCAAACTATTTTTTGTACGGTTTCTATATTTTGATTAATTTATATAATTTGTTAAAATATCAACAATAATAAAATAATATAGAAAATGCAAAAAATAAAATTGAAAAACATACATAAACTTTTTATTTTGATGCCATTTTAATCATTTTGACGAAGACTTTCTAATGAAATATTATGTTATAAAAAATATTCATTTTATTATAATTTAATAAATTATACAAATTAATCAAAATATATAAACAACTCATTAGGGGTAAATTGGTCATTTTATCTGTTTTCCCTGTACAGTTCTCGATACCAAACGCACCTTTAAGTCATTTTACATTGTCATCTACCTTATCAGCTAACAACTAGCTTTTCAGCTAGTTCGCTAAAGATGGCTTAAACTAATATAAAAGAGAAGGATTGCTTATTTACCTGTGACTCTAACGGATCAGCTTCTCGAGAAACAAGACTTGGCAAACTGATTATAACGTTAGAAGCTGCTACAACGGGGTCGATTGCATGGTGGGGAGTTGCAGCGTGACCACCCTTTCCACTTATTACAGCCTCAAAGAAACCGCTTGCCGCCAGAAGAGGGCCAGGCCTTGTAGCAACTGTCCCGATTGGAAATCGGACCGATACATGTAGCCCAAAGATGGCATCCACATTCTTGAGTATGCCCTCATCCAACATTTTCTTTGCTCCACCGCCTCCCTCCTCGGCTGGTTGGAAAACCAGAACTATGGTTCCTGTTAAAACCAATAGAAACAGACCATTTAAACGTTAAAATAGAGTCTATGTTGAAAGCTAACCAGATGAGTTCCAAAACAGAGACTTGTGAGACTTTTATACGCACCTAACTGGTCAAGAACGGTCTAGAGGGTTGATTTGAAATGGCATAGTCAAGAACCATGGGTGCATCAATGAGTGAACAACAAACATATTGGTCCCCTTGAGTGGGGAGCTGAGGAATCTTCATTGGAACAGTCTCTCGACCATTTGGGGTTCTAAGTTTTATTTGCCCGTGTCGCATGTCAGACCGTGACATTGCTAAAGAGATTAGGGCTAATCCATAACCTATATATAGGAGGTTTAAAATACAAACTATGTAACTTTTACAAACCAATCTTAGCCGTCCATCTAGCCTAATAAACATCTGATTTCATTTTGTTTCCTAATTTAAAGTCATGATCATAATGAATGAACTTTATCATCTTTCATATATATCTCAATCATAAGTAATGAATCATGATAATTGTTCATAAATATCTCTAATGAACATTGTTAATGGTTTGTACTACGTATACTATATTATAAACCATTTGAGATGAAGTCTTAGAAAACATTTTTTATGCATCAAGTACTGTTTATTTATGCATATTACTTATAATTCAAGATTACAAGTAAATGGTGCATAAGTACCACTTTTTAAAGCTATATGTTTGAATACGTATAACTAATTGACAAACATAAACAAATACAGGATAAACATCTCATTTTATTAATATGAAATCTAAAATATAATTAGGATACATTGAGTTTCTAACATAGTATTTAATTATTATCTTTATAAAAGAACATATTATATATAGAGGGGCTTAATCAAATGAGAACTGACTAGTTTGTGGTAACTGTGAGATCCAATCTCAACCACAAATCAACAGATAAATTAGGAAATTAATAATTATGGTAGTTTGAGTTAAAATTATAATTAAAGGGCATTTTAGGTATTTTTAATAAACTCTTCTCTCCTCTCTCATCTCTCCGACCTCCAATCTCCGGTCTCCGGTGAAAAAAATCCGGCACGTACCAAGTAATTACAAATATACACAATATGATACTCATTGTGATATACACTGGTACCCAAATGGTATCACAGTATATCACAATGGGTATCACATTGTGTATCTTTGTGATTACTTGGTACCTACCGGATTTTTGTTCATCGGAGGCCAGAGATTGGAGGTCGGAGAGATGACAGAGGAGAGAGAAGAGAGGAGGTTTTTTAAAAATACCTAAAATGCCCTCTAATTATAATTTTAACTCAAACTACCATAATTATTAATTTCCTAAATTATCCGTTGATTTGTGATTGAGATTGGATCTCACAGTTACCACAAACTAATCAATTCTCTCTTGAATGAGCCCCTATATATATATATATAATATATATATATATAGGAGGTTTAAAAATTAAAATACAAACCTTGCAATCCTTACAAACCATGGTTATAACTTATATTAGAAAACAATTGAGATAATTATGGAAGATGATAGAGTTCATTTCTCATGATCATTGCATTAGATTAGGAAACAATAGAATATTTACGGAACCAGATATTCAATAGGCTAGATGGACGGTTAAGATTGGTTTGTATTTGAAGCTCCCACTATACATATATATGATACAAGATTTAAGCCTATTCTCTAATCCTACTGAAATTTTCGGCTACCATATAGCAAAGAGAAATTATTCCCTCTATTAAAAATCACACCCCCATACCGGTTTGAAGATCTGGGGGTTTTGGATCTAGCACTACATTGAAGACAACGGTGTTCGTGCGTGGATCATTCTAGAGGAAACCTACTTTGGTTTCTTATGCTAACCGATCTGCTTACAAACCTTGTGATACAATTCCAAACATCCTATGGGTTGTTTGTATTCAGTTTTGTGTCATTGGATCCGACTGTGGGTTTTATATTATGATTTTTTTAAATCAGGTAACCTTTTAGATCAAAATTTTACTTTTTCCGCTGCATTCTAGATCGGGTAACTTTTGAAACCGTATAGGGGTGAAGCACTCAACCTACAATTTGATAATTCTGATAGACATTTCCAAATAAGATATCTTCCAAGAATGGCCAACTAAACCATAAGGGTTGTGGCATAGTGGTTGAGGTCCTGGGGGATGTGGTGGAATATCCTATCTGCCTGGGGTTTGATTCCATGGGTACATAACAATTGTGGCCACTGAGTTTATTAGAGTTGATTTCTTGCTGTCACAATTTGTCGTAATTAGTCCAGGCATAGCTTGGGACACCCTTGCGGAAAAAAATGGCCAACTATCAATGCCAAGTATTTTTAAAGATTCTCATCTGACGATGGTGTCACCAATACAACTCCATTTTTGCACCACAAACTCGAACAAGATAATACAAATAATTAGAAATGAAAGTCTATGAGCATGACCAATCTTACTACGGATCAACCATCATGGCTTGAAGGTTTGTTGATTCTACTTCACATCACACACGTTTTTTATCATATTGACAAAAAAAAAAAGACGGACAATAAACGAACCTGTATCTTGTCACGATGTTGTTGAAGCATCTTTGCAGCACCAAGAAGCATTGAAACATGAGCATCATGTCCACATGCATGCATTTTCCCAGGAACCTTGCTTTTGTGCTCCCACTCCACTCCCTCCTGACCTAATAAAAAACTAAGGGCTTGTTTGTTACCAGCTTAATAAGCTTAATAGGATTCACAGCTTATTCGGTCAGTTATATATGACTGTCCGGTAGTGGCTTAATGATATAGGAATTGGCTTATTCAATAAGCTTCTAGGGGAGCTTTATGCAGAAAGCCAACGTTCCTTCCATTTATGAAAAAACCCTCCCAAACAAAAACCTTCCATACTTATACAGAGAGATTAATCCACACAAAGAGCTTTATCCATACAGTCACTAAGGGCCTGTTTATCAGCAACTTAATGAGCTTAATGAGACTCATATATTCGGCCAGATATACATGAACAATAGTGGCTTAATGATATAGAAAGTGACTTATTCAGTAAGCTTCCAGAGGGAAACTTTATGTAGAAAGCCAAGTTTTTTCAATTTTTTCAAAACTTTCCCCTCCCGGTTTAAAAACACGCCCCTTTCATCTATGGAGAACCCTCCCAAACAAAAAATCTTACCACTCTATACGGTCAGGTTAATCCACATTGACACCTTTATCCACACGAGACTTAATGGAATCCTTCAAATGACACAAAATCCGATATGATTATTTGTACACAACATATATAAATTATCAATTTCAATCACAAGCTTCAACAAACAATAAAATTGCTGGAATGGATTCTTTTGAATACATAATGCAGATTATGATTCAACAATCATTCTTGAGTTACAGTGTGGGGCAAATTGGGGTTTTAATTCTAACCAGAACAATCAGATAAAGCATAAACAGTTAGTAGTATGTATTTAGGGTTTAAGAAACCCTAAGAACAAAATCAAATGTCTAAAACAAAGTCAAACCTGCATAGCTAGAGCATCCATATCTGCTCTGATAGCAACAAATGGAGGTTTTCCGGTACCCATAAACCCCACAACTCCGGTCACAGCAACTGGATATCTATAATCGATCCCTATTTTATCAAGTTCAGTTCTAATAAGCTTACTAGTTTCCAATTCTTCATAACCGAGCTCTGAATTTTGGTGCAAAGTGCGCCTGATATCGACCATATATTCCATAAGTTCCGTCTTGTTGGCCAATTTGAGGAAGCTTGATGGGATTCCGGCCAAATTTTGTTTCGTTATGAAACCATCGGAACATTTGGGGGTTGGTTGAATCGTATAAATGGCGAGCATAAAGAACACCCGTTTGGTTAAACTCTTGGATTTTTTTCAAGAGAAAGGAAGGTGATTAGTATGCCACGCTCTCTACCTTCCTCTTTGTTCTCCAGGTTTCTATTTTGGGCTATTCTGGGACATACTTTTCTACCAAACCCTTTTTCAACGTTACCAGTTAGAATGGTTTAATTTTTTTAAAACTCTTTATTACTTATTTAACATTGACATAAGTTTTTTATGTAAATACTCACAATTGTTTATTATCGGTGTCTTATCAAAATAAGTTAATAAGTTGTTTTTATAAGCAATCTCAAACACCCTGCTTCAAATAACTTTTTTCCAGGTTTTTAGTTCGTAACAGTCTTTTTGTAAGAGAAAATTTATAAAAAATAGTCTAAAAATACATTTTTTATAAAAATAATTAGGGAGTTCCTCCTTTCTCCTCAAAAAAAAATAATAAATGGCCCACTAGATACGCAAAATCCGACTTGAAAAGGTACAAAAGCTTGTTGATTATGTGACTTAGAGTCGGCCGATGCGGTCCTCCCCCCCCCCCCTCCCCCTCCCGCGTAAACGTCTCCGACAGTCACATCATCGACAAGCTTGTCATTCATATCAACTTTTGTGTATGCCGTGGGCCATTTAGCATTTCTTGAGGAGACAGGACCATGATTAATTTTGTAAAGATATACTTTTAGGCTTTTTTTTTATTAAAAAAAAGCCATTTGAGTTAAGAACCATTCTTTCGAAGTTTGTTTTGCAAAATGTCCGATGTAGTGTATTTTGTAAAAGCATCACTAACAATGTAGGTTCTTTTTTGGAAGGGTGTCCCAATTTATGTTCAGACTAATTCTTAATTCTGACTGTAAGATATCAACCTTGATAAATCCAGTGGCCACGATTGTTATGGACGTTTGGAATTGAACCCAGGGCATTTTGAATCCTTATATAAAAATCCGAGCAATATATGTAATTCATTTATATATTCTTCTAGTTATAATATCTTTTTAAAGTCATTATGTCCATCTTAGAAAAGACTTGAGTTTTTTTTAAGTTTATTGATTAAATTGTATTTTATCTTTAGGTAGTGGTTTCTAATCTCATCGTAGTTCATGACATCTTAATCATCAGTTGTATTCGATCTTTTTTTTTTTCATCGTGGTTATTTGAGTTAGATTACACGCACCGACTGATCCTCTGGTTATAATCTTCTCGAAACTCATTCTTCGGCTTTGTTTGTGTCGTTTGCTTTCAATGCATAGGGTTTGCTCCGTTAGGTTGATGTAATGCTAGACAGGGCTCTACGTATTAGCAAAGTGGGCCGATGGGATGAATTGGTTCTTGGGTCTGCCTGTCGAGGTAGGCAGTGCATCATTAGTATTAAGTATTACGCTATCGCACCCCCTATCTCTTAAAGGCGTAAGTGGGAGGCCTTGGTCAGTCGATGGCAATGAGTTGATTTTCCAAGGCAGGGGGATCAAATCTCGGGAACATGGTCTAGTCATAAGGGTAGTATTTTATCATGGTGTCAGATCCTAAGTTTTTATGGATTCCTTCATTCCGGTACATTCTGACAAGCTTAGCACCCATGACATTGTGGAATACTGCCTCTATAGATTTCCCCCAACGCAATCCACCGAAATTTGATTGGATAGCTAGGAACACTAAGGTACACAAAACGATCTGTAACCTACGTAGAAGGACTGAGTGTGTGGGCTACCGCTCAATTGACTCGTCACAGTAGGGGGAAATTAGAGTCTTAAACGTGCACCTGTTTTATTGATGGGTGTTCCTTTGAATTAACAAAAAATGATTGTCGTGTCATTATATGTGGTAAAATAGGTCACAGATTCAAATCTTTTTGCTTTTTTTATATAATTTTGTTAATAGCAACAACATAAAAGAGTAACCACAAGGGTGGTGTCTGATTGTTTTGAATTTGGCTCCAAAGGTCAAAAGTAATTGAATGTCTCAGGTTCAAATCCAAGGAAGAATAAAAATCCCCTTGTTGCCACGGAGGTTCAAATGCGGTGACTCCGAGCTATCTGCAAAGCAAGTGGTCGCCATAGGATTAGTGAGTTCGCATAGCGGGTTAGATATCCAAGTTAATAAAAAAAAACAAAATAAAAGAGTAAAAAAAAACCACTTGAACGTTGCAAGAAAAACCCTGCACGTCATTTGTGATAAAACCGTAGTTTTTACAATTAATATTTATTTCAGTTATATTACGCTAGTTATTTTATTCACCTCGTTTGAAGAAAAAAGAAACCTGGATTTGCTTTTAGTTTTAGACTCAATTATTTACGATGGCAATAGTGAAATGGTTTGGCTTCTTTTGATGGAAACAACAGAACCGAAAGTAATTACCTTTTAAATCAAAATCATAAATACTTTGTCAATTATTAAACACACACATCATCTCCTTGTCGAAATGCCAACCACTACCGACTATAAAAATCCTGATTGGCTAAAAAATTCTATAATGATATCATAATTTCATATATTTATGTTTTATGAAAGAGTCATTGACTGATTAATACTTCATCAGTTCGTTTTCCGTCAACATATCACATCATTTCAAGCCACTAGAAAAAAGTCCAGATACATCAGATGAATGATCTGACGTTTCTTTTCAGTAATAAATTCATTAAAAGTTTTACATGTCAATTTTAATTTCTTGAAATTAAATCAAACCAGCTAAATAATTGAACTGAATTGAGTCATTTTGAGAATTTCTGTAGTCATTATCGATTTCTTTTTTTCTCGACTGTCAAACTCGAACTAAAATAACTGATTCGAAAATCTTTTTTTTTTTTTATTAAAATAACACATTTTATGAATAAAAAATGATCTAAATGTCTTAATCCCACCAAAACCTACAAATTTACCGAAAGTTAAAGTTAAAAAAGAGTGTTTGAATTTTACATCACAACCCTATCTCATCAATTAAAAAATCAACTCATTATTATTGTTATTATTATAATAAACAATTATTATTTACTACCATTTAAAGGTGAATAGATCATTATCAGATAAAAAAATGAGACGAATTTGCTCAAATACAAGACAGATCTCGGGTTCTATCTCGGACCCTTCTGCTAGTCCCAGTAAAGAAAAAGCCCCTTACATTGAAGTCCTTAAAGACAGCTCCATATGGGGCCGGATTATCGGTTAATCAACTTTTTGTTTAAATATTTAAAGAATTAATCTTGTTTTATTTTTCAGTCACCATGAGTCCACGGCGTTGTAAATGCGTTAAAAGTTGTTAAGACAACAAACCAGAGTAGATATCAGTGCTCGGAGTCCAATTCATCCATAGGAAAATGTGGTTCATTCAGGACCATATTTTGTTGACAATGTTGTATTTAATAAGAAAATGGGTCGAAAAGTCGTCTAAAACGTCAAATTCTTATATGCTACTAGACGTTTTTTATAAGAAACATCGTTTTTCTGCTTTTTCGTACCACATAAACGTCAACTCCACAAACTACAAACTTTAATAAAACATGATCAATAGTAGTGTGCCAAATAAAGTTTGTTTCATTGGAAGAAGTCCATTTTTTTCTAAGCACCCACATCCCCTAAACATGATTTTTTTTATGGTAGCATTTAGAGTGAACTACAAATTTGGTGCTTGTGGTGATTTGAAACTTACAAAATGACCATCATAATTTGCAAGACCGTTTGGATTTGGTCCCTACGTCGAATGACCGTTAAAATTTGTCGGGTTTTTTTGTCCTTTATCAAATCAGAAACCACAAGGACTAAAAGCAATTGAAACTGCATAAAATACAAAAAATCGATAAAAGAACGAAAATAACCGTCATTTAATGAAATTCATTCACGGCTGTTAAAGTATGAGAGACCAAATCCGGACGTTTTGACGAACCATGATGGCTATCTTACAATTTCAAAACTGAAGGGACGAAAAGTGTTATTTCTGACAAACCTTTGGACCAAATTTGTAGTTTAGCCTATAATTTTCAAGTATTTTTCCTTCGTTTTCCACACACAAATTCTCAAATTATGTAAACATCGTCAAGGAAAACATTTACAAGTATTTTTACACAAATTCTCAAATTATGTAAAAACCGTCAAGATATTTCATTTTAGTCTTAAAACCTTGAAACTTATTGACATACCTTAATAACCATGGGATCAAATGGCTCTTTTGTTACTTTTTTTTTTGCTCTTTATTCACATGTGGTACTTGTATCAAATGGATGTGACATTGGCTATTAACCATGGTGGATCAACTTTGTATGTGTCTTTTTACAACAAAGTACCGAAATCCATTCGATCACGATATCAAATCTACCCCAAAAAACAAAACTATTTGCAAGTTTTGATCAATGGTAAAGATGACATATCAGCCAACAATCCATGAAATGGAAAAAAGACAGTAAACTTTATATCTTTTTGTACTATTTTTTTCTTTTTCAAAGAAAAAAAGGTCGATCTAGGCTCCTTCCTTTCCACCGTACAGTTGACGTAGCAGGTACTACAGGCCCTATGTCTCACACGTTTAACCGTAGAGTTGCCATAGCAAGTACTACGGACCCTATGTCTCTCGCGTTTAGCCATATAATTAACATAGCAGGTACTACAGGCCCTACGTCTCATGCGTTTAACCGTATAGTTGCCACAACAGGTACTACAGGCCCTATGCCTCACGCATTTAACCGTATAGTTGTCGTAGCAGGTACTACGGGCCCTATGTCTCACATTGATTGAGAAGAGAAAAGAAGATACGAGCTTTAAGATGACACATGAAACCATAAAATAGAAGATTTTTATTCCACAAAAGGGGACACATGGAACATAGAAACACTTGGTTCAATAGATTTAATACAATAACATTAATACAATAAAAAGGGTTAGTTCTGGAGGAGGAGATTATTGGGGAATTACATTTAATTTATAATTTTCATTTTTTAAATTAATAATTAGAAAATAAAATTACCACCATAACCCCAACACTTTCCCTCCCTTGTCTCATCCAATGACCAAAATACCCTTACAAAAGTTGCACTTTTACCCCCTCCTCCTTCATCTATTTACATGACAAGGGAGAGAACAAAATGGCTGCTTTTCTTCCCAAATCACACATTAATTACTAATCAACACATAATTAATCATCCTCACTTCACAAGCTCCGATATCCACCCAACATCCGGGTTCGGACCTTCTCCCGGACTATCCACCCCATTCTCTTTGCTCAGCTTTTCAAACATCTTTGCCCTCAAATCTCTCCCGGATTCCACCCTTTCCATCGCCGGTTCTTCTTCCCAGATCTCCGAAAACCCGACTCCACGGGTCACGGGTCGGGTCGGGGTCGACGGCAGGCTATAGAAACCCGATCGGGGAGAAGCAAGGCTCCGACCCATTTGCAGGTTCCATGGCGTCACCATGGATGGGGTTTTGTTGAGCTGCAATCGCCGAAGAGATGATAACATATCGCTCACCGACACTGAACCCAACGACCGGCTGAGCGAACTGTCCATCGGAGACATCGGTGGTGAGTCAGACGGCGGTGTGGAAGTCTCCGACGGCGAGGAGAAGAACGCCGGGAGGGTTTTTAACGACGACCCATCGTAAGAGTCGGTGTGGGGACTCACTACACGTAGTTGCTCCGGCGTGTGAGCAAAGAAACAAACTCGACGGCGGCAATTAACGCCGTCCTTACACGGCTGAGTACGGTAGCGGTGTGGGTGGAGCCAGCACTCGAAAACACCGTGAGCAAACTCACAACCGTCGCCTTTCTTACAGTTTCCCTTCCGAAACTCAGGGCAAGCGGTGCCGGAGTAACTGTACTTCCGGGGATCTCGCCGGCGAGCTTTCTCACCAGGATGAGCGTACGGACAGTCGGTCCAATCATGCGACCGACCACGAGAACATTTTCGTACCTTAAATTCGTACATCCGAAAGCTATCGCAAGCGTACGCCTCCGATGTGATGTCGAAATCCGTACAACCCGACCCCGACCCTTCTCCGTCGAGATCTTCTTCAAGATAGCGGCGGAGTGCGGCGTCGCTACGGAGGAAATAAGCATAGTCTTCCATGGAGGTGAGGCTGTTGATGGCATTGGGACTGCGAGGAGAAAAAGGTGAAATTCCGGCTACCGGATCATCCATCATCGTCGTCCATGGCGGTACATGAACCATCATGCCATGCTGGTTTCCATCTCCGACCATTTCTTCTTCACTTGATGAGTTGTTCTCCAATTTATGGTTATGGTGAAAGTTGGGATTTGCAGGTTTTGAGGGTTTCCACTTCTTCCATATATAAACCACTGGGAGATAGTGGTTATGGGGTGGTGGGGGTTTTCTTAACCATGGTTAATAATTAATAAAGTATAACTACTAATTTTTCACTTGTTTTATATAAATACATTTTCATGTTGGAAAAGCGCTTCCTGTGGTATTTCATAATTTAAGATTTGTGTCTCACGTCAAGTGATATAATATAATATAATATAATATTTAATTTTTTAATATAATATTTAAGTTATCTTATAAGGTTTTATCGTAGTTTTTAAGACTTAAGGTTTAATCTTATACATTTAGAACCTTGTTTTGAAATATAAAAGTCCATATAAAAAAGAAATATCAAATAAATTATTTTGTAATTTTTAACCAATGTTTATATTTTTATACTAAAAAAATCCCAGTTTATATCTTATTTAAGGTAATAGCAATGTCAGCTTTTGACGATAGAACAGTTAGTAAAGGGACACGTTGACTTTAATAGTAAGTTTCGTGAATATGCTCAACTAGTTTTCTTATATAGAATGTTTTTTAGTATATAAAGGTGTATCTGCTAAACTTTGACGGGTGATCCTAAACATTAAAAAAATACAAAAAATCATTAACCAAAAAACTTAAAAAATCTCTTAAACGAAGGAATTCGACTAAAAAAATATCAGATGACTTTGCAAGCCTTTGATCCAGCATAAAGGTGCACTCGCTCCGCAAAAATTCCATGTCTGCCACTCATGATTTTGTCCAAAATAAGATAGGCCCTGTGATCGATCTCAAGCACTGAGTGAGCAAAAAGACAAGTTTCGTGTGAAGTGGGTTGAGATTATCAGTAATCAATTATTTTTCCATGATAATATGTCGACATAATTTATGATTAAAAATAATGATAGTGATATATGTAGTGAATATTAATTTAAAATAAACATGGGACGCGTTAAGTTTGTTTCTAAGGTAAGCGGTTACAATAAGGAGAGATGGTAAAGTGACAAGAATTAAGGGAGGGTAGGTCTTGTTGGATGTATGCCACGTGTATGTGTAGACACGTGGAAGTCTAGTAGTGGACCTTGAGGAAATTAGGTGTCATGGAGATGGTAATGAGTAAATAGAGTGATAATTGAAACCCCATAGAGTTCCAAGGGCGGTGGAGCGTTAAATACGCAATGAGGACAGGGACCTCGTCGACATTTCACCCCTTTTTTCTGCTAAAGCACCCCTAAATTGGGAAATCATAAATATTAAAAGGAAAAAAAGATATATACAAAAACTCATTTAAACAAAGGTGGGTTTGTTTTTGGCACGATCTTGGTTGCGGGTCAAGTCGTCCTTACATCATTAAGCCCTCTTACATATGATAAGGGTGTTGTTGATGTGATACTATAATCCATCAAGACCATCACATGTGATGCTAAATCATAGACGCATACAACTTTTAGCACGACCTAAGTCGTAGAACACGTCTTGTCCTCTCATGCGTATTATCACATGTGATAAGGGTGTTCTCACGTTTTTGTAAAATGAACGTGTTCTTGTTTCAACCTTCACACACACACACACACACACATATATATATATATATATATGGGTTGGTTCAAATGTTAATCAAATTTATTGAGGTTAACTTTGTTAACTAATCTTGGCCATTGATCTTTGAAATTTGTGGCTAAAATCATTCATGACATAAAGTGTAATTAATTGCATACATAGACAAGGTAACACAAGTGAACAATTTTTACAAAGGGTATTTTGAGAAAAGATTTTAGTTGTCTATTAATGACAATGAGATGTTTTGTAACTGCCCATTAATAACAATGTAACTATCTTATAATTAATTTCGTCATCGAATCAAAACCAACAACAAGATTCCCGACACCAGATTCTTTTACGGTTTTTTTTGTTTATGGTTCATATGTGAACAAGTATTCGATATTTATGAAAATTGTTCATGTGTGAATAGGGGTGTATATGGAAAAAGGTCGTAAACAACACAAGTGTGCATATATGTCAATTTGTGTTTGTGTTTGTATTTGACACAAGGGTTCATATATGTCGATTTGTGTTCATAATTGACACAAGGGTTCACATATGTCAAGTTGTGTTTATATAGTTGTACAAATGTTCATATATGTGAATTTGTGTTCATATAGTTACACATGTTTATCATCTTTCGTATGTTCATATGTGTCAATATGTGTTCATATTTATACCAACTGTACATATATGTCAACCTGTGTTCGTAATTGACACAAGGGTTCATATATGTCATTTTGTGTTCGTAATTGACACAAAGGTTCATATATGTCAATTTATGTTCGTAATTGACACAATGATTCATATATGTCGAATTGTGTTCATATGGTTGTACGAATATCCATATATATGCATATGTGTTCATATGACCACACATATTCATCATTTTTCCAATGTTCATTTTGGTCAATATGTGTTCATATTTATATCAACTGTACATATAGGTCAATCCGTTTTCGTAATTGACACAAGTGTTCATATATGTCAAATTGTGTTCATGATTGACACAATGGTTCATATATGTCGAGTTGTGTTTATATGGTTGTACGAATATTCCCATATGTGAATTTGTGTTCATATGGTCACATATGTTCATCATCTTTTGTATATGTCAATTTGAACGATACCGAAAACTTTACTACCGGGGCTCCTCCACCAATCACAAATTCATAAACACTAGAGATAGAAAATCAATATTAAAAAAAATAACAAGATTAATAATAAGTTAACACAAATCATGAGATTTTATTATTTTGTAGCTCTCAATTAATGCTATACGAGTTACATAAAAAAGAAAATCAAATATATACCCTTGTCATTAAATTATAAGATGAATATGAACATAATACTAAGATGTATTGTGATTGATTAAAAATGACTAACAAAGTTAACACAATAGTTTATATTACTCAAAACCGGTTAATCTATCAACACTCCTTTTTAGGACATCAACAACCGACATGTGTAAATGGTTATTTCCGTCCAACCGACCAAGATCTTTTGTTATGTGAAGAAGATTGACACACGTCGAGGAGCATTGTTCATGGGGGACGTTTCTGCGACAAATATCGAGCATTGATCTCAATGGATGGTATTGTTGAATCTGAATGTGTTTAAACATCTTGAAGGTAAAAAGTGAACGGTGATGAATGTAGAGTTTTCTTTTTAATGGATGGTCGAGGTCGAAGTCGCGGTCATGGGGTAAGAAAAAAGAAAGAGGTGGAAAGGAAGGGACACTTATCACTTGACGTATCTTTAATGGATATTAATTTTAAAAAAGGAAATGTGTCAGAACAAAAAAGAGTAAAATATATTTAGTTATTCAGTACCCCAATTTCATCATGAATAATTATCAGACAATTATATTTTATTTTATATTGTATTATAAATATCTTTGAATCATTTTGTATCACTTGATTATTCTTCATAAAACAGTGAGGAAGATTATTATAAGAAAATAGATGGTTGGAGTTGGAGTGTTGTTAAATTAATGAATGGTGATATAAAAAAGTAGGAATAAAAACAAGTGTCGAGATCCTATTGCAAAGGGTTTATATACGTGGGAGATAGGGATTTTAGAAGAACACGTATGGTTAATTGGTATCTAATTATAGAATAGGATACGTGTAAAGACAAATGAAGACATTTTTAATACAAGTAACATGGCTTGTCATTTTACTTCTTTTGACCACTATATTATATCAACTACTCCATAAATAGCAATAATACACCATGATTTCTGTGTTTTTTATATATATATATTTGGGATCATGTGAAAACCGATATGTTTTTGTGAGACTTGTGATAACATTTTTTCACTTGAAACTTTACAGTAAAACGTTGGAAATGTAACTTTCACAGTGTTTTTGTAATTTGTTGTGAAAGTTCAGATTTTTTTTATCTTTACAACGTTTTGCTGTGAAATTTCAAGTGTAAAAAAGTGATCTCACAAAAACAATATGTTGGTCTCACCTGAACCTAACTAACTATATATATATATATATATATATATAAACACTTGAATAGGGTTGGGTTTCGGTGAGAAATAAGTTAAATTGAAAAGCGTGGGAATGTATCTCCAACATTGGATGCATATTATGATATGATGCATTGAGATGCACATATCAAATCTCATATCAAACATGATTTATAAATTAGCTTAAAATTAAAGATAATCAATGGTTCAGATTTCTTATTACACTTCTCACCTTAACCATCATTCTCCCACGATCCTTTGCCTACTTTTGTACATTTGGCATCTTTCAAAAGGTATATTGTATTGTATCATTTTGTTCCCTTATAAAACAATGTCATTACTCATATAAAATTATTATTAGCAATCAATTAAGGACGCTAAAGAGGTAAATATATATATATATATATATATATATGTGTGTGTGTGTGTTTTATTTTAAAATAAGGTTTTTGTAATTAAAATAAAAGGGTTAGATTTCTCGATTTTAGTAAAATAATATTTATATTAAAAAAAGAAAAAAGAAAAAGAAAGGAAAGCATGTGCAATGGATGAATAATTGATGCGTTGGCATGGCAGGTGTCCAAATCATACCGAAAATAGTCATATCCTAAAAATTCAAGAAAAGAGATATTCAGAAAAACCGATTTGTTGTCTTGTTATGATGGAGGTAACGACTTCAAACATAACCAGTTTTTATAGTGTGACAGGTGGTGTGTTATAAGCCCTGGGAACAAATTCACCGTCGTATGGTTGTACCAAAATTTAGATATTTATAGACGGAAATTAATAAAATTTTAATTTTAATTTAATGTAGGGAGACACGTGTGGGTTAGCCCATTTTAGCATGATAAAGAAGGCCATGTCTCTTAGATTTTTTTACTATAAAAGGACAAACAACCCCCTCTTTTGGGGAACATCCCATCCTTTTTTTATCCATTTATGTTATGTATATGATTATTCCACTTTTTTTGGTATTCAGTTAACGTATTTAACAAATAATAATCCCCTTTACTCGTATCTTATTATTCCATTTTACATAATTATTAAAATCTAATATTTTTTTATTTTTTTAAT